TATTTCAAACACTACAGGTCCCTGTGGCAGATGGAGCGGGCTGTGGAAGGCAGCTGTTTCGAACACCTCGCCGCTCTCTGGACACTGCGTCAAATATGTGACCTCGGAAAAATTCACCATAAACCTTTTCAACAATGTAGTTGACACTAATTTCTGACTGGGGGAGGGGATCATATTTACCAACACTGCTACCAAGATGTATCTGCATTTTCCAGCACATACAGACCCAGTATTTGCCTGTTGCTATAAAATGGCCTTAACGTCCAGGCAAACCTAAATGCCGCGAATACCATTGACCAGATCTGCGCTGAATAACAACAGACCTGGATGTCCAGCTTAGCTAAGAACCCCTCGCAATAGATGTCTAAAGTTACGGGGGATTAATCCCACTTTGGATTTGCCTTTGGGAACAATCTGTTCAACGGAGATTAAGGGTGAAGTTTAGAACTGCGGCATCGCTGAGGCCAAACGTGCCTTGTGCCCCAGAGAGACAGGAGCGTGCGCGTCCGGTGGGACCGGGGCGTTGTTCTGAACGACGGGTTCGCCGAGGGGCTGATGCAACACCGAGCCGGAGTTTCGCGGCCATGTGCTGTGGGCAATGAGCTCAACCATTGCGCAGGTGTTGCGGACTTGAGCCCTACCCTGCACAGGTTTCCGTGACGGAATGTTGCACCCCCACTGGCGTTGCCTTTTGAAGTTTTTCTAGAGAACAAAGGAGGTTGATTCAGTATTAATATTTCACTTGGCTGTTATATACACATGCATATTCAGTTTTAATTTACAAATATGATCAAATAGCTTTAATTAAAGAAAACTAAGATTAGGAAACAGTATTATGGTAATATAGTGGTTTTCAACTAGAGTCCGGGGACTGCTGGAGATCCCTGGGCTACTTCAAAGACGCAGGTGAAAGCTGTTTAAATAGAAAAAACATGTCTTTTGTCAGTAAATGCACAGTGCTTTACCACTGGCAAATTCTTCGGGATCTGAAAAGGAATGAAAACTCTTGGGATAAGACAAATGTGATACATTATTCCTGCCTATCAGTTTTTGAACAGAAACTCAATGTAATTTTAAAAAGAAAAAAAAAAAAACCCAAAACCCAAACAAACCTCAAACTAACAAGTAGCTACAGCACAGAACATCAGCATGTTCAAAGAGGTTGCTGTGGGCATCCAAAATAGCCCTGTTCGAGGGACTGGCATCGGGCTCACATTACTTAATGCACTGCCAGAATAATTCAGTCAATTTGGTTAATTATGAGTAACATGAAAAACAAAACACAAATATCAACTTTCTACTTTACAGAACTCAGCAGATCATGGTAGGCAAGAGGCCATAGAAAATTTCATCATTGAAAATACTGAATTCTTGATGAGGAATCCATAAAGAGGATGTCGTACTGAAAAAATTTAGTAACATTGCCCAAGCTACTTAGGAAAACCATGAAACAGAAGATTTCCATCACAAAATGTTTTAGAAAACTCAAGGAGTGCACAAACTTCATTAATAATTTTTAAATGATACTCTAAATCAAAAGACAGCTGGAACGAAACAAAACACTTTTATTCCCCAGCCCTGCTTAAGTAAAAACCTTGGTATACTTCAGATGTGCCCGCCGTATCAGTGCGATGAGCAGAACTAGTGTTGCTAAATGGAAATCATCTGATTAAGGGTTCAAAAATGTAATCCCTTCCAAACTGGCAGACTGACTTTACCTTAAGGGCTAAACCAGCCTGAATTAGGTTTGTGTATGCTGCAGGCTCAGACCGTGCATATGACTAGTTACCAGCGATGGGCTAACCTGCAATGACTTGTTACTGCTTAGTGAGTGAGTCGTGTCTGAATTCTGTGTTTTTCCTGCCTACCCGCAACAATTCCAAATATTTCTAAGCCTAATGAATACCTTAATTTCATTATCACAAAATGTAGAGGAATAGGGAAGCATAACTCAGGATACACATACAGCAGTCTGTACTTGTACTGAGACACAACAGCACCCCAAACACAAAGTTACACTAATAACTGCAATTGCCTAAAACAACATTAATTACCTACAAAAAGAAACTGTTTCCAGTAAAATAATCTCCAAAACTTGGTGGAGTCAGCTAACACAGACTTAATGTTATCTTGTAATATCTTGCACTCTTACAGAAGTTTCAAGCTCAGAAAAGCTCAGTTTTCTTGAAGAGATGAGGTATTCAGGCTTAAACTTTCAAACACCAAGAAACACAGGCACTTGGCACATCTCCATATGAATATATCGCTGATTTCTTTCCATGTGCCATTATATGTAACATACCTACTCTGCCTTAGCGGGCAGGTACACTGCTTAAAAATGAAGTATCCAACATCTTTTCTTTGCAAAGCAGGGCTTGTATTTGGGAGAACGGGAGTGAATATAAGACTGTACATCATCCCTATGTTCAAGTACAAAGCTTACTCCACGTAATTCTACACCTGGCATGGTCTCTTTGCTCCTTTTGAAATCCTTTTCTTATTCACAGCTTGCCTTTTGACAGTGGGCTCTCACTTACGTACCGCTTTCACATCCCATAGGGAGAGTGAAAACCCTTGTGACGAGACAGTTCCCCTGTGTCAGTGGGACCTGTGGTGGGCTGGCCCTGGTCAACAGCCAAACACCCACCCAGCCGCTTGCTCACTCCCCTCTCTCATGGGATGGGGAGAAGATGGGAGGAAGTCAAGAAGACTTGTGAATTGAGTTTCAGAAGCCATGGGACAGACAAGATCTCTTAAATGCTCGTACATTTCTTTCCTTTGTTTCAAAAAAAAAAGGGGTCGGGAGAAGATGTAACAGGGGCCCTCAGTCTCTCTCGTAGGTGCAGCTTTGCCAAGTGCATGCACTACTCTTCCTCCCGTTAACGACATTAACACTCAGTAGCACTGCCATGTGCAGGCAATCAAATACCAGCTACAGCGCCAGGAAGCAGCTTTGTGCATAAACCCTGTGTAATTCAGGGGTTTCACCCATTTGTGTTCCACTGACCGCAGCATTTTAAGTCTAAAGGAAATGAAATATCCCCTGGCGTATCAACCCATGTTAACAAAGGTTCTCCCTGATACATAAGGTAGCACTCTACACCCACTTTGCTCAGATATCACTGGCTGAATGGCAGAACTCAGAGGGTTGTCATCAGCGGCGCTGAGTCTAGTTGGAGGCTGGTGACAAGTGGTGTCCCTCAGGGGTCAGTACTGGGCCCAGTCTTGTTTAACTTCTTCATCAACGACCTGGATGAAGAGTTAGAATGTACCCTCAGCAAGTTTGCTGACGACACCAAACGGGGAGGTGTGGTAGATACACCAGAAGGCTGTGCTGCCATTCAGCGTGACCTGGATAGGCTGGAAAGCTGGGCAGAGAGGAACCTGATGAGGTTCAACAAGGGCAAGTGCAGGGTCCTGCACCTGGGGAGGAACAACCTCATGCACCAGTACAGGCTTGGGGTGGACCTGCTGGAGAGCAGAGAGGGACCTGGGTGTCCTGGTGGACGACAGGTTAACCATGAGCCAGCAGTGTGCCCTGGCTGCCAAGAAGGCCAATGGGATCCTGGGGTGCATCAAGAAGAGTGTGGCCAGCAGGACAAGGGAGGTTCTCCTTCCCCTCTACACTACCCTGGTGAGGCCTCATCTGGAGTACTGTGTCCAGTTCTGGGCTCCCCAGTTCAAGAAGGATGAAGAGCTACTGGAGAGAGTCCAGCGGAGGGCTACAAGGATGGTGAGGGGACTGGAGCATCTCCACTACGAGGAGAGGTTGAGGGAACTGGGCTTGTTCAGCCTGAAGAAGAGAAGGCTGCGAGGGGACCTTATAAATGCCTACAAATATCTGAAGGGTGGGTGTCAGGAGGATGGGGCCAAGCTCTTTTCAGTGGTGCCCAGCAACAGGACAAGGGGCA